AGTAGAGTAGGGGGTCAGTAGAGCAGGGGGTCAGTAGAGGAGGGGTTTAGGGGGTTATGGGGTCAGTAGAGCAGGGGGTCAGTAAAGTAGGGGGACAGTAGAGGAGGGGTTCAGTAGAGGAGGGGGTCAGTAGAGGAGGGGGTCAGTAGTGGAGGGGGTCAGTAGAGGAAGGGGTTAGGGGGTTATGGGGTCAGTAGCGGAGGGGGTCAGTAGAGGAGGGGGTCAGTAGAGCAGGGAGTCAGTAGAGGAGGGGGTCAGTAGAGCAGGGGTCAGTAGAGCAGGGGTCAGTAGAGGAGGGGTTTAGGGGGTTATGGGGTCAGTAGATCAGGGGGTCAGTATCTGAAGCCCTGTCCCTGATAAAGCCCACCAGAACCTGGTGTCTGTGATTTGAGCAGACTGAGATCTGTGGACGTCCCTCAGCAGGCCGCCTTCAGAGCCGAGGGCCGTTGTTTTTGTCGGTTAAAGTTTTATTTTAGGTGTTGGGCAGGGAAGAATCCTTGAGAACCATTCTTAGCTCAGTGGGAAGAATGCATAGACATTCGGAAGCACTTGGTTCCTTTTTTTCTCCCTTTTTTTTCTCTCCAATCTACCGAAACCAAGCATCCCTCAGCACAAATGAATAAGGAGCAAGTCACGAATTGCAGTTTATCTCAATGAGCAGTATAAATATCTCTGGCTTGATTTTAACCATAGCTGATGAATAGATTGTGCAAATTGATGTAAATTTGGAGGTAGAGAACGCTATTATACACATTAGGGAGGCCTAAATGACATTTCATAACGCACGCCTAGGAAAACGTGCAAAATTAGCTCCGTGTTTTTTTTATATTTCTGTTTGTGTTTCTACATCACAGAAAAAGCCAACATCTGCGTTTCCAAAGCTTCAGATGTCTATCTGGTTTATTACAACTGCCGCGAAACGTTTCAAATAGTGCCACGCTCTGTTTGACTGCAGACAATTAAACATCTCAAAAAAAGAAGTCAAAAACATCAAAGGGGATTTTGTTTAGAGGGGGGCTTGAGAAAAAATGCGGAGGAGGCCGTGGAGGAGCCAGAAAAGTGCTGAGGCCTGTAAGCAGAAGAAACAGGGACTATATAAAACCTGTACCTATATTCACATGACTTTACCGTACTACCATGGCCATCCAAAGCCTCTAATGACTCCTCCACAGCTCTATTTTTTCCTCAGGTCCGTAGCTGCTGGCCAACTGTTTGCTGATAAATTCCCACACTGGCAGATGTTTCATATGAAGCTTCTTGGTTGTTGGAATCTGGAAAACAAAAGATTCCAGCTACACTTGGCTCCAATCGGTGTGGGGCAGCTGGATTGTTGGTATTCATGCAGATTAGTTCCTGGTCCCACAGTTAGTGAGTACATCTTCCACCCAAATATG